ATCGGGAAACTCGTGAGGGATTCGAGCGAAAAGAGTGATCTAATCGGCGACGAAGACGAAGAGGAGAGCGTCGAAAGCCATTCGTAATCGCGTTTCTATTTTTGCAAAACAACTATTTTTCAGATTTGGTTTTTTTTTGTTATTTTAGTTTATTTTACGAATACTTTTAAATCGTTTTTATATTCGGTTTAGTTTTTCTTAAAACGATTTCTTTTCTTATTATTTTTCAAATGTAAATCCAGTTCCAGTTGTTGTCAAACAAAACATAAATAAATTATTTTATAAAAAAAAGTGACAATTATTTGTGGAAAAAAGTGAAACTTTTGATGACTTGTGTTTAAAAATGCATTTCATTTCATGTGAAAACTTGAGTCTCATTTGAAAAATGGTTTTCAAAAACTAATATTCATTGAAAGTATGAAAAAAAGTTTGTTTGAAGCGAAGGAATGATAGGAACAAAGTTGACTCAAAGATAATGTGAAGGTCTGTCACAACGCCTATAGTTTGAGAGCAAACTCAACGGTGTTTTGCAATCAATGGTTGCAAACAGAAATGTCTACTCATTTAGAGTTCAGTTCTTTCAACCCTTTGATCACAGCCTCGAGTCGTGTCATGTATTGCGAGATGTCTTCAAAGAAATCGCATTTTTATGCTTTCAATCAAAAAACAGGAATTTTTGCAAAACATTACAATTTTTGCATTCATTTTGAATTCAAAACCAATTTCAGACAAATTGCACGAGAATTGCGTCATTCGGTCGTTGAATGAGTCATTCATTGCATTCATAGTTAAGAATCGTTAGAATTCTATTCGAATCAACGTTTAGTTAGCGTTCGAATCATTGTTCGAGTCATGGATTGAACCGTTAGTGTGAATGAGTGCTGAGTTGTGACGTAATTGCTGTGCGAGTGTTGAGTGCATTGTTTGGAAATGTCGGACAGTTTGCCAACAATTATGTCTTCGCATTGATGTCTGGATCCAGTGGTGCGCCTCACGAGTGGACGCCGTCTCTGGGCATCACTGCCCCGATCTCGACGTCGGAGCCGTCGGACAGCGATGAGCAGCGGTCGCGAGAGTTGTCGTCATGTCTTCGTTCGTTCGGACTCTTCGAGAGCGACGAAGAGATGGAACACCGGATGAATGTGTTGTCGAAACTGAACGAAACGGTGCAGACGTGGGTCCGCGACGTGTCCTCCAAGAAGATGCCGAAACAGAACGCGGAGCTCATGTAAATTGGCGTCCATTTCGTCGTTGCTTTCGGTCTCGTATTCGGTGTCGGACTCCGTGTCCAACAGAAACGAAATCAACTTATTTTGAGACATAAAACACTTTTTGGGCGAAGAGTCGGCCGAAAGCGGGGTTTTGACGCTTTTCTTCTTCCGTCGCCTTCTCTTGCGTTTAATCTTCTTTTGTCTGTCGTTTTGCATAGAATTCAACACTTTTTTGTCGTTTAAAAGCATTTTGTTTTGGGTTTGATTTGAATCTTCAGAACAACTCATTTCACCACTAATTGTATCGAAAAAATCGTCCGAAAAGACAGTTCTTTCGGCCGAAAGCGACTCACAATCACTGCACAAGTCCTCGAAGGCGTGAAGAATGCCCTCCGAAGAGGCCATTGTCCGCAACATTCGCGTCGACAGCAGCTCTTCGATGGAAGTGCTGTTCGTGTGTTGAAAAGGATTGCGAAATGATTTGCAATTATTGTTAAATTTGGCGAAATTAGCGCTAAATTGAGTCAACAGTTTCGCACACAAGTGTTGTTTCGGCGGCGGATATGACCACGAGATGTGTGGACACGACTGGCGCTCGGATTGCGACCAAAACGATGTACTCATCGGCGAAGACATGTCTCGCGAAGGCATTAAACAAGTCTTTGGACCGAAAGACACAAAATGAGACATTTTTGGCACCGATTTTCAGCACATTTTGTCAAACACTGCATTCAACACATGATTACACTCTTGTATAGACTCTGGAGGAATGATTCCGCGATAAATGGACTCAATTTGTGGACAATATTTGAAAGCATTTGTGAATACATTTGAAAACAAAACAATCGAACGAATGATGAAATCTTTGAAACATTTTCACAATAATACAAATGGCGTCCATTTCGACACCTCTACACACATCACGTCATTAGTGACGTCACACACCTCTACACACATGACATAACACACCTCTACACACAAGTGACACAAAGTTTTGATAAAAATAGAAATCGTTTAATGAATTGATTTTTAAATACAATGAAATGTTTTCCAATTTTTCGATCAATACTTACCTCTAATTCATAACAAAATTATTTTAAAAAAGTAAGAATTGATTCAAAATGCAAATAAATGGTCACTCATTGCCGGCAATCGTCTCCTGAATGAAAGACGGGTTGAGAAATGCATTCATTTCGCATCACATACTTGTTTCTCGGTCTCTGTCCTCAAATGTTTGGCGGGACTCGACTCCCCGTCCTCTCCCTTTCCCTCTACATCTAATTTCTGGCAATTCTGACAACAAATCAAACGTTTAATGCAAATCAAAGCCAAACTCTGACTCACATTAATCTCTTCTTCGGTCTTCAAATGCTTTTTCGGACTCGAGTTCGCGTCTTCGAGACCTCTTTTCTCGCAGCTCTGAAACAAAGCACCCGTTATTGCGAACCACTTTTGAATTCAATCATAATTTGCTTACATTATTGGCCTCTTCTTCTGATACCCTCTTAACAGGAGTCGACTCTTCGTTTTCGATATCTTTTTTCTGAAAATAACAAATTTAAAAATCTTCACTTCACTCGTCGTTCAAATACTTCAATAGTTTTGTCGCCATTTGTGTTGTCTTTGGATCTGTCGTCGGCGGGAGTAGTGGTCGAAGCGGGAGCTTTGGTGACGGCTTCAGGACTCTGCGAAGAAATCAGTTTCACAACAAAAATCTCGAGTAAAAAGTAATACTTTTGGAGTTTTTGCGGTTTTTGTCGTTTTGAACACTTCTGTCGGTAAATATTTCCCCAATTCTTTCCTCTTCACGTGTTTGGTGTCAATAGTCATCTCCGATTTGAAGAATTTGCCGAATTTCGCCGCATTTGTCACTAAAAGCAAACACAGTGTCAGAAGTGCTTAAAAGAGATCACGTGATTGAATACCAGTTTCGGCAAAACTCTTGATGTCTTGCGTGAGATCGACGTTAATTCCTTCGGCTTTATTGAACTCAAGACCGATGAACCACATCGTCTCGATCTTCATCTCGGGCTTCGTTTCGGCCTTTGGTTCCTCTTTGGGTTCTTCGCCGCCTTCACTCGTGTCGGGCGTGTCTTCGGGCGCGGGAACAGAACGCGTGAAACACTTGGGGTTCACGTGAGCCAATTGTATACATCGATGGCGTTCGAGGTTTTGGACGAGAATTCGGATCTTAGACTCGACTAAACCGATCCATTCGGCGTTGTCTGACGCGAGAAGAACAATGAAATGGCGGTATTTGGCGAAGAAGTTGACGGATTCGAAGAGCGACTCCCACGGGGCGTGACCTGAGATGGACAACGAGAGTGAGTTAAGAGAAGGCGCGCGCAATGGAGAGAAAGAACCGCTCATAATGTTGTCGATGATTTCTGAGGCGCGAATGAATTCGTTAATCATAATGGCTTTCGTCGACTGCGAGACGTTGAAAGTGGAGTTCTGTTGCGGATACGAAGGCGTGATGATTGGCATCAAGTGGTATCTGTCGGCCACATTAGTGCGCGGGTCCCACACCGGGAACCCCAGACTCGGGTTGTCGTCGCTGTTGTGGCGCAGGAGCACCGGCTTAGGCCACGGCCATTGACGNAAGGCGTGATGATTGGCATCAAGTGGTATCTGTCGGCCACATTAGTGCGCGGGTCCCACACCGGGAACCCCAGACTCGGGTTGTCGTCGCTGTTGTGGCGCAGGAGCACCGGCTTAGGCCACGGCCATTGACGGAACACCAGAAAGAACTTCTGCAGCAAAGTGGCCGCCGATGCGCGCGGATACAGTTGACACGTGCGCGCGACCAGCATTGCCCACGACACGCCCCCTACACACAGACACACCAATCAGTGCCACGAATTACAGTGATTTGAATGCAAACCTAAATATCCCAAAGCGTTGGAATAGATTCCGCGTCTCTTTGCCCACAATTTGACGGCTCTTAACGCCAGACGAAAGGACTCGTGATTCGGCACCAGAAGCAGAATGTCGTCCGTCACGCGCGACCCGTTCAACGAGGCGTGCGAGAAGAGCAGGTCTAAGAACTCGTCTCTGGGCAGCGCGTCCAGGACTAGGACTCCTTACAAGAAGTCGCGCTCAGACCGCTTGTCTTACAGCTCAAGCTACGGAAGCTAGAATCAGAACTTGACGGGAACGAAGGCCTCTTCGACGGCGCGAACGTATTCACAGTTCGGGATCTGAGACAACATCTCGTGGAAAGTGACGAAGAAGTCGGAGCGGTCGAGATGTCGCGGCGCCACCAGAAGGGTGTCGATGTCGGCGCCCTTCGTGTGAACGCCCAACCGATACGACCCGAACGTGAAGATCTTGCCGGACATGAGCTCCGCGTTCTGTTTCGGCATCTTCTTGGAGGACACGTCGCGGACCCACGTCTGCACCGTTTCGTTCAGTTTCGACAACACATTCATCCGGTGTTCCATCTCTTCGTCGCTCTCGAAGAG